TTCCCTTTATAATCAGTTTAGCTGCAAGCTGGGCAGTGGTGGTATCCTTGATTTATAGCAGACACCAGGTCATTTTTGTTCCTTTCAAGGTTTCCTGACATTGCTTTGCAACCTCTGCAAAGCTTCAGAGTGCAGAAACATTACGCAGAATTACACAGAGTGCTCTGAGCTGAAAGGCCCCCACAAGGATCATTGAGTCTAACCCTTAAGGGAATGGCCCAAACAGGGATTGAACCCACTTGCAGAGGCCTGGTGTGTTTGGATACCCCTGATACAGCAACAGTCCTGTGAACTGTCACAGGCTCCGTGAGATGACACCACAGGTGAGTTTCTGAGAGCACTCTGAGTCACAGAGCTGACTTGCTTTTGCTGTGGTGAAATGCCGCTCCTTGTCACAGGGGATGATGTCAAATAAGTTCTGGAGGGGGAAAAAGGTTACTTTTATTCTTTCTCTGCCTTTTCTCTCTTACTCTGGCCAGAGTAGCTGTCACCTCTGATACAGCAGCTGCACCAACCTCTGCAGGGATGTGAGTGCCTCATGTTGCAACAACACACTGGTGCTGGTTCTTCCATTCCAGGTAAATACACCCTCCCATCTGGCTTGCAGTCCTGTCACTTCACACTGGTTTTAGTGATTGCCAGTGGGGTTTAGTGATGCATCTAAAACCATCTCAGGCTGGTTCACTGTGCTGAATTTGGGCTCTTTGCTAAGGACAGTGGTATTTGATGGAGTCTCAGGTTTAGGACACCTGACTTCAGCCCACACTGAAGGTTGACCTTGTGGATACATCCCTGGTTTCCTGCAGGAGACATGCTGGAGTTGAGGGAAAACTCTCTGAATTTCCTCTCCTGCCCTGCCTGTGGGCCCTAGGACAGTGTCCATGAGGGGCCATGGGGAGCGATGGAACCTCTGCAAGGGCTTTACATGGCCTTCATATCTTGGGAAAAAGTTGACCCAGCCCTTCTTAAGGGTTAATCTATTTTTAAGATTAGCTCACACAGAGGTGCTGTTAAAACTTTAAACAACTTCAATGTGAGCTCATACAGGCTCATGGCTGACAGGGACAGGCTGTGGTCGAAGCATCTGGCTCCCTACCAATCCCTGGCAGCCTGGATGAGCCCCTTGGCAGAGATGTTCATCACAGACAGCTTCTGAAAGAGAAATAAATGAATCCATCTGGTGAATTCTGGCTGGGAGAAGGGAAGGGAAAAGGAGGGAAACCAGACAGCATTATCTGTCCTCCACGGCAGGGGAAGGAAGATGAAGTCCAGAAGTGGAGATAGAAGGAGCAAGGACTCATTTTCGAAAAGGAGCAGCATGCAAATGGGGTGATCTGAGGGGAAGATGAGGCAAGTGAGAGGCAGGACAGAATTGTCAGCCCCACTGTCCTCTCTGAGGACATATGCCACCCCTATCCTGGGTATATACCCTTGGAGTTGCAGTGTTTTCCCCCAATTTTCTTCTGAGTTCCAGGAAATCTCCACCAAAGCTGAAGTGAAGCATCACAGGTAACCAGGAGCATATAGCAACAGTAAACCAGTTTGTACATAGTTCCCTAAAGCAGTGAAATATACTTCTGGATACTAATTTTATCATAGAATTGGCCTATTTTGGCAATGTTAAGCCTGCTCCTAAACCAAATAGGAAATGGCACCCCAGAGATGCTGGGGATGCTGGGGCTTGTTCCCATCAGACTCGACTGATCCAAGGCCAAGACCATGTTTGTTGGTTTAACTAATTCAGAGCAATTTGGGCCATTTTATACCTATTTGCTTTCCCTCTTACTTTGTATAATCCCTTTGTTTGCTGAGACAGCCTTAGGCTTTGTGTTTCCTGTGGGAGTGATGGAGCACAGTGACAAATGGAATTTTAAGGGCAATGACTGTGGGAAGGAAACGAGTCCCTGCACCTCTCTGTTTGCCAGGCCAGCTGCACATGGCCCTTGGAGACAGCATCACTCCAGCAAGTACAAGAGCAGCTTTAAACTTGACAGGTCTTTGTTCACATGAGTGCAGCAAACCTGTCTAAAACATCTATTCCTTCCTTCCTTCCTTCCTTCCTTCCTTCCTTCCTTCCTTCCTTCCTTCCTTCCGCCACTTCCTTCCGCCACTTCCTTCCTTCCGCCACTTCCTTCCTTCCGCCACTTCCTTCCGCCACTTCCTTCCGCCACTTCCTTCCGCCACTTCCTTCCTTCCTCCCTCCCTCCCTCCCTCCCATCCATCCATCCATCCATCCATCCATCCATCCATCCATCCATCCATCTCAGAGCTCTGTCAAATTTGTGATTTTCTATCCTGTGATTTTCAATGTAACTACATGCATGCTTTAAGAAAGAGACTAACTCACCATGTTTCCCTTTTTGTCATCTGGTCTCTGTGCTTTTCTTTTACATCCCTGCCTCATTTTCTCTCTCCTTCTGGTCTGCTTTCTCTTGTATTTTATAGGCTTCGTGGTATGGAAATTACTTCTGAAATACCTAGTGCTATTTTATTTATAGCATCCCTGCTTACACAATCCAGTGCTGAATGCCAGAGACAGCAGTGCCAGGCCTGGTTAATGCTAAACACCCCAAACTTCATCTATTTCCTAAACCTTTGTTCTGGTGGGGAGGGAGCATTAACAAGAAGGCACCGCAAGCTCACAGGTGGGATTTTGCTGCCTGTGTTATTTTACCAAGCATGCAAGGGGGATACCTTTTAACAGGGATACGACGACTTTCCCAAAAAACCTGACCACTCCAATGCAGTCTGCCAGCAGAGCAGAAGCTTGCTGCTGCAGCATCTGCTGCTGGGCAGGAGCAGCCCAAGCCTGGGGCTCCCTGCAGAAATGCAGGCATTCCATGAGCAGCCTGGGAGCAGCGAGCTGGAGTCCTGCCTGAGAGGGACCTGCCTTGGACACCCAGCACACACACAGAGCAGAGCACAGCACTGCCAGGGCTGTCTGTGCCACGGAGGGCACCCTAGAACAGCGGGCTCAGGGCAGCAGCCCACCAGGGCATTTCCCTCCTTCCTCCACCAGTCTTGTGCTTCGGGTACCTAGGCAATTGCTTTTGGGGAAATTTCTGATGAGCAAGTGTTTCACCCCCAGTGCAATTTAGCAGCAATTGATAAAGGAAAAGCCATTATCAGGAGACTGCAGGCATGCAGAAGCAGCTCCATGGCCACATAACTATGTGATAAAGCTTTTTTCCCAGCGTTGGTCTACATACACGTACGGAGATTACTATTCATAATAGCTTGTCCAAATCCCCCCCCCAAAAACAGCTGTTTCTTTATGATAACTGAACATCTTAATGTCACCTCCCAGCAAAAGCAACCTAACCCAAGCCTTGCAGACAACTGCTCTCCACCGGTATGAAGCTGATAGGAAAAGAAAACCTTGTGTATGCAGTGAGATAGATTTTTTTTTTCTGTCTTTAGATTTTTTTTAGTTTTTATTCAGTGACTCAGAGTTACAGACTCTTTAATGGATAACTGGTCATATTTTTAAAACTTGGAGAAGACTTGGGTTCAACTTTGCTGCCCTGAGATCTCTGAGCTAGCTGTTGAATTCTGTTGGATTTATCTGGACAGGCTGGCTTAATGGCCTGAGGCTCAATAAGGCCAATGCCGGGTCCTGTATTTTGGCCACAGCAGCCCCGGGCAGCGACACAGGCCTAGGGAAGAGTGGCTGCAAAGTGGCCCAGCAGAAAATGACCTGGGGGTGCTGGTCAGCAGCAGCTGAACATGAGCCAGAGTGTGCCCAGGGGGCCAAGAAGGCCAATGGCATCCTGGCCTGGATCAGCCATAGTATGTCCAGCAGGACCAGGGCAGGGATTGTCCCCTCATACTCAGCACTTGCGTGGATTTACACCTCAAATCCTGTGTCCAGTTCTGGGCCCCTCACTACAAGAAGGACATTGAGGTGCTGGAGCATGTCCAGAGAAGGGCAGTGGAGCTGGTAAAGGCTCTGGAACACAACTCAGGAGCAGCTGAGGGAGATGGAGTGTTTAGCCTAGACAAAAGGAGGCTCAGAGGGGATTGTATCGCTCTCTACAACTGCCTGAAGGGAGAAGTTAACAGAGAACTAAGGGCAAGCATGGACAGTGATGCTCTCGTAAGTGCAGTGCCACATCACTGATTTTGGTCCAGATTTACACCACTAGAGCCAATAATGTAACAAGTAAAATGTACAGAGGCAATGATCCTCCACAGAAAACACTGCTGCAGCCTCTTCTAGCTCTTCCTCACAACTAACCTCCTTCCTAAGTTGAACAGTTGAAATTTCCAATTAAAATCTTTTGGAGCAGAATTAGTGAGTTGGTTTTTGACTTGCAGTGCAGTGTTATGCAGCATGAAGTCCTGGGCATAGTCCAGCACATTCAGTGATGGGTCTTGTTTGTGGCAAGGTGGGTTAATTTGGTGTATTATTTGCAAATGCAATGCACAATGTGGAGACACACTGCTACCAATTACCAAACACCGCTCATCTATTCTAAGGGAAGTGATCAGAGATATCTCAAGTTTTACAACAAGTTGTTAATATATAAGTAAAAGACCTTATTTGATCCTGTGGGATCAAATAGGGCTAAGCCCAGAGACTGCTGTGTGCAGTATATGCTTTCCTAAGGGAAATTAGTGAAACTGCCCAGGAAAGTCCCCTTCATGATTACAAGACCAGGTGCTAAAAGCATACGCCTCTTCTTCCACGGCTGTTAAGGTTGGTGGGTGATTTTTTTGGTGTCCATCTCCTTGTGAGAGACTGTGTTTTGTAAAATCTCGTTTATGAGAAAACCATTTTAAAATGGTGAAGGCTGTCTGGGAATTTTACCCATTACACCTCCCAAGACGTGCTCCTTCATTCTCCGTACTTCGTGGTGCCTGCTGGCTCTGTTATCCCACAACAAGACAGTTATGAAACACCACATGCCCTAACAAATGTCCATCCTTTTGCGACTGTCCCGTGAGAAGGAAGTTCCTTGCCTTAGGCAAGAATGCCTGAAGAAGTGTGGGCCGCAGTCTCAGAAGCTGGTGGTGTACTCGTGCCTTGTGCTGGTCTCTGTGTAGCCCCCAGGGTCCTTTGTTCCCGTGAGAGCCCTTTGTGCAGCTCGCCGTGGCAGCAGTAGCTTGCAGGCTGCCGCCCTGTACTTCTTGGAAACGAGGTTGTAGAGGACAGGGTTGATGGATGCGCTCAGGTAGAAAAGCTGCAGGGCGAATATATTAAAGTACTGGGAGAACAGCATCGTCCTCGTGTCCCGGGTGTTTATAAATATGATCCTGCCAATGTGGAAAGGCAACCAGCAAATTACAAAGGCCAGAACCACCACAGCTATAAGACAAAATAACACATGCGGCAGTTAAGGAGTGAGTTAACTTTTCAACCATCCAGTAAACTAAACTTCACGTGGCTGATTCTGCAGGTTCTTCTAACTGATACATATGATATACAGAAATAATGGCATTAAATCGTTGGAAAAACCATGAAAATGGGAATAGCATCAAGTCTGACTGCTAGTCTTAGAAGTAAAAGGCAAAATTTTAAGCTAAACTGTGAGATGAGGTTTGCTGAGAAAAATGTGAACAGCAGCAGAGTAACATCTGTATAGTAACATCAGGCACTACAGAAATCACCCCTGGTTATGTCTGTAATGCCACATATGAGACAGGAAAACAAAAGTCAGAATGAGGAGTTTTTGTGGACGCTCCACAGCAGCTCCAATTGCTCCAGAGCTGTTGTTTAACTTGCCTGCATCACCGAAAAAGACCCGGGCTGCACCTCAGTCACCCAAGCTCCCACAGCATTTGCTCTGTTGTGACGGGATGGTATCTAACATAAAGACTTCCAAGTGTAGTTGAGCTATTGATTTTTTTCCACTAAAGCTTTTTCATGCATCCCCAGACCATTACTGCTGGAGACAGCTATTTGCCCGGATGGATCTCTAGCCTGAGTCACTTCAGCTGTTCGCCTGGTCCTGTGCCGCATTTTAGAACAATGAGAACAAATACAAACCCTCTTGCGATGGCAACACAGCAGGAGCAGATGAGGAACAATTACATAAGTGTATTATTGTATCCATACTTATAATTATTTTTTTTTATAAATGCATGTAACTAAACCAATCATTTGCAGAGCATCCTCCGCATTTCTCACAGCTTAAATAAAAGGGATGCAGCCAAAGAAAGTTTTCTTCTGAAAAACACCACACATGTAGTGGTGCAGGATCTTTGAGATAAGGGGGCACTGGTCTCATTCAGTGGGTTCTGAGATCATGGATATGGGTGTATCTGTTGGAAAACCTTGTGCCTACTTCAGTGTAAGTACCTTCCTCAAATAAGTTGGTGAAATTCTCTCAGGCTTATTAATTTCTTTCCTTTGAGCTATGCTATTTCCATCCAGCTGATTACACTCTCAGTAAAAGTCTCCCATGTGACATGTAAAAACTACACTAAAGGTAGGCAATAATAATAATTGAGGCATTTTGTTTTATGTTCCTTAGTCTATAGCTGGATTTCTTTTTTCTTACCTTCAGATTGCTCACGACTTACAAACATTAAAGCCCCAAAGCAGACTAAGAACTCTAACTTTCCAGAGTCTGATGCTGGGTTACTGAATGTATGACTCGGAAAATGAACTAAAATTTATCAGCATCCTACACCTGTAGGAAGTGTTTTGGTCTTATGGGATTTGTCTCCAAACAGCTCGTAGGGGCTAAGTTACTGTTTTTCAGCCTCCTTGCACAATCAGTGGATTTACTCCTTGGAGAGCTACAAATGACCACTAAGAACTTGGTTTTCAGAAGCAGAAATTTTCTGTGCAGAGGTGTTGCTGCCAACTGGAAGAGGCTGATGATGTTACCAGAGTTTTCTGAAATTGCAGGATGGTAGCCTGTACTTGATTCTAGCTGGTAAAATAAAGGAAACAGGTATTTCTATGGAAGGCAGTCCTGCTGATGGATGTGCAACGCCACGCGGATGAAGCCTCAGTCGGGAGGGAGCGAAATCCCTGCCGTGGCATTCCCGGGAGCGTGGCTGGGATGTCCCCCTGTGCTATTCCCTATCCTCCCTATCCTGAACGGGAGCTGCGGGTGCTTCAGCCCTGCCACGGCCCCCCAGCCCCGGTCCTTGCCCCAGCCACAGCCCGGGGGGACGGTAGGGGGACTCACCCAAGATCCTGACAGTCTGGCGGTGCCCCTTCTCCCGGAGCAGCGAGCTGGGGCCCCGCAGGCGGGTGTTGCTCCGCCACAGCTCGCGGCCAATGCAGCCGTAGAGGACGCTGAGGCAGGTGACGGGCAGCACGAAGTAGCAGGTGGTCACCCAGAACATGGTGGCCAGCAGGCCGGACTGCAGCGCCTGCGGGGTGGGCTTGCACTCGCGGCTGAAGTCAGTGTGGTTGTCGGGCTGCTCCACGCCGACCAAGAAGAAGAAGGGGCTGGCGGAGAGCAAGGCGAAGGCCCAGAGGACGCCGATGGTGGCTTTCACCCGGCGCTTGGTGACGACCACCTTGGCCTTGAGGGGGAAGCAGATGGCGAGGTAGCGCTCCACGGTGAGGGCGGTGATGTGGAGGATGGTGCAGTAGGTGCAGCCCTCGCTCAGGTAGTGCGAGAGGCGGCACAGCAGCTGCCCGAAGATCCAGGGTCGGGAGCGCCACAGGCGGTAGAGGTCGAAGGGCAGCCCCATGAGGATGAGCAGGTCCGAGACGGCCATGCTGCCCAGGTACAGGTTGGTGGTCGTCTTCATGTCGCGGTAGCTGCGGATGACCAGCACCGTGAGGACATTGCCCGCCACGCCGACCACGAAAAGCCCCAGGCAGACGGCCGTGATGGGAACGAGCACCCACATGGGCAGCGCCAGGCACAGCCGCTCGTCGCAGGGCGGCCACGGCCACGGCCACTCGGGCTCTCCCTCGCTGCCGTTCCCGCCGCCGCCGCCGCGCCGCATCCCGCCGGGGGCCGCGCCGTGCCCGGGGCAGCGCCGCTCCTTCCTCGGGCCCGCCCCGCCCCGCCCGCGCAGGTACCGCGCCCCCGGCCCGCCCCGCGCAGCCGGCACTCAGCCAGCCAGGGAGGGGAGGAGGGAGGGGAGAGGGGCGGCGGCGGTGCGCGCACAGGACTGACCACCAGCAGCGAAAAAGAAGGTACTTTTATTGTCCACAGACTCTTAAAGGTACTTTGCTACATCGTTTTATGTATTTTCTATCAGACTATACAGGTTCGTCTTCATGGAGCCCGACGTTGTACAACCGTAAAGTGATATGTTTGGTAGTGTATCTATAGCGTTTTAAAAACTTTAGAGTTTCTCTTTTTCTTTTATTTATTTATTTATTTTTGGAATGTACAGTATATGAGGTAAAATTAAGATTACATTAAAAACTGTCTTCAATGCAGTAATATGCACTGAGGCTCAAATGGCAAATACACTATTAAATGACTATCAAAAATAGGAGCTCATTTGAATTTTACTATGAAAAACGTAAGTCACTGCAGGTTGCCTGCAGTAACAAATCTTACCGTTTTAGACATTCAACCATAAGAAATCTCTGGGCTGTGACACGCAACCTCATTTGCACTGCCAAACATGGCACTTTTAAGAAGGTTCTAGAAAACATCAGTTATCGCGGTATCCTGCGGGAAGGTATCAGCCTATACGTACAAATGACAAATTAGAAATAAAATGTAAACATACAGTACATTTTAAAGACAGATCGTTCTTGCCACGTGGAGGCCAAGTTCTTTGCCATTTCTTCTTTTTTTTCTTTAAAAAAAACGAAACTCAGCAACATTATTCTACAGCACAGATCATTGGACGTATAAACAATTACAATACATGCCCGTTCTAATATAAGAGAAATTCTTCAGAGATCTTCAAAGCACAAGACAGAGGTTCCTTTTTTTATTATTATTAAGACTGACAGAAGTGTTTAATACTATTAAAAATGCTAAACTGAACACAACTAGAAGTCATTAATGATCCACTATCTTGTAACTCAAATAAATTAAAAGTAGCTAATTACAAAGTGTATAACAAATAACATAAGTGTGATGAGACAAGGATTTTTTTTAAAGATAGTTTCACTACAAGCTTTGTGTCACTGGCAATCATTGACATCTAGCAAGATGTTCAATGGGATACTTGTTAAAATTCAGTCTGGTCATTCAAGAACTCACAAATGCAAGCTCACAAAACATTGATGAGTTATGCAATTGCAAAGTGCTCTAATGCAACATTAACTACATGCAATCAACAATTTGGTACAGTATCCAAAGAGACATTACATTAAACATTAGGATCTCAAGAAAAAAGCAGCTTTAAGTTTTCTGGTGCAAATTACTACACTTCGTCTTCTGATTTGGTGCCCCAAAGAAAGAGAGAAGAAAAGAAAAAAAGGAAGGGAAAAAAGAGAAAGATAGATAGAAACAAAACAAACAAAAAAAGGCAGTGCTTATTTCTGGTGGATATGGCAAGTGAATGTTGGGGAAACAGCAAAAATTCAATAATGAATTTTATCTCAAAATTCTGTTGACTAGCCAAAATCAGAGGGCACAGACATCTGTATAAACTGCATCCAATCAAAGGTCAACTTTGGAAATGTGTTTTCCAATTTAAATAACAAATCTAAGAAGGTCTCTCACACTCTCCCTTCTATATTCAGAAGAAGTAAAAGAGGCATTTTTTTTAAGTAAACACCAAATCCTGGGGGTAAGATAAACCACTTGTGCCATCCCCTTGTAGTCTTTCGAAAACATCTACTTGCAGTGAAGAACTCCACATTTATCAGATAAGAAGCTTCCTTCATGCATACTCTTCCATCCAGTTTATTATTTGCTGCCTGAGAAAAGCCCCTTCTGTTTTTCAGCATAAATCCTGCTTCCCAAATAATTAAGACAAATGAGGAGGTAGAAATACAGCGCTAAATTGCTTTCACAGCATCAGATTAATATTGTGTACAGCACAAGTTTGTTAGTGTAAGTTTTAAATGCGATCTACACATTCTTCCCTGTTATGTTAGCAACCCTTAGAAGTGTGGGCCAGGAAATCACCTTTACACTTGTTTACTGGTTAAACCCTTTTCCTTAAACACTGTGTGCCTGCCCCATATCGAGTTTGTACTGCATGAAGGCATATAAAGAAAAGATTATATTTCTGTGGCTTGCATTTTAATAACATGTGTCAGCCTATACCTACGAGTAAGCATTTTAAAGTGGCTGAGAAAGTTTGCATCAGTCTCAATGCCGGTGCAAAATGCCTGGTTTTGTAAAAGCAAGAGAACAGAATTACTTTTAGATTATGAGAAAGTAAAATGTAATGGGCAGCATTATAAAATAGATCTCTTTTCTTCACTTTATGACGAAGTACTGAATGATAACAGCAATCAGAATGGAAAAGATAGCAAAAAGTGCAAGGATGACAGCAGCACACACTTGGTCGCTCTGTGACCATTGTGTCCTTGTGGTTTGCACAGTGTCCTTGTTGGTGCTCGCTGGAGGCTCAGTCCTCTGAGAGATGAATAGCACTGGGGCGCTGTAGGGGCCCACCAGGTCCTGGTGAGCCGTGGCCTCTTGGCACTGGCGAATGGCACACGCGCGGAATCGGTATTCACAGTTCAGCTGCAGGCCTGTGTATCGGAACGACCAGTCCGGGCCCTTGTAAATCTGGAAATAAGGGGGGAAAAGGGATACTTCAAGTAAAAAAGTACTGTATACACACATGTATCTTAGTATGGTTTTGTTTATGAAGGTGAAGGTAACTAAAAAGGATGACAACTCACCAGTGTTTTCACCCATGCAAAGAAAAATGGACAAAAAGCTCAAACACACAATTTAAATACCAGATAAAGTCTCCAGTTATTTTGGTGAAACACAAGAACTATGCTTGCTTGTGTGGAGTGATGAGTGCACATCAAATATACTCTGTCACAAGCCCCCAGCCTTCAGGTGTTTTAGTGACCACTCACAATGTGATGCAATATACAATATTGTATCATGGGATTTTAGGCAGTTAACTCCACATCAAGCCAATTCATTAAGTCTAATCCAATCCAATGTACTTTGTTGTAGTTATCTGTATTTAAAATATTATGATTTATCCCAATAAACACTGGATCAGGAAAGCCACAGAGTCCTCTTTATGATTTTTAATTTCATCATATTTCCAAGACAGAAATAACTTGTGAGGGTGCTTTTCAGAAGTGTCTCAGTTGGCAGGTTAACATGAGTTCACCATGCTTCTGCATGGAGTCCCTATTTCAGTGAAATCTAAACTCCAGTTTCTCAAATTAATTAAATTTGCAGCTATGTAAAGGTTCTGTGAAAGCCAACAAAACCTCACAGGGGTGCAGTTATAGGTACTTCAATAGTTAGGGAGGTATTAGGTGAGTAGCACAGTGCAATTTGATTTCTCTCTTTAAACCCCTTCACCCTCCCACCTCCAAATATCTGGATTTACTTTATTTAACTGGAAGCACGATACAGAAATATCACAGCATCAGGAGCATTCCCTATAGTTACCATACTGTTAGGCAGTATCCTGAAAATGCACACTAGAAATATAAAGAAACAGGAAATCCCTTCTGATTCCGCTGTTTGAAGAGCTGTTGCTGTGCCTGAGGCACAGAGCTCTCTGACAAGCTCAGCTTTACTGGAATCTACAACCTAGAGACTTTTCTCTCTGAGGCAGGGCAGGCCATCGGAAGTGCAGCTTCCTCAAAACTCTGCTAATGTGGCTCATGCATTTGGGAGTGAGCAAACAGGCCACTGACACACACCCTACTCCAGCTCCAGCTATGCCAGCTAGCAGGGCTTACCATCCTCAGCTGCTTGTCCCCAGTGCCTTGCCAGAAGTTGCCTTCCCCTCCAGTGTGTCTCCTGGGCTATTCATACGGTTGCTTCCTAACCTCTTTAAGATCTTTGACTGATGTATACAGCTCAAAGAGCACATTATTAACTTATTTTGTCTGTAGCATGGAGGGAGCAGTGACATGAGCAATTTGGATGACAGATCAGGAAGAAGGACGAGAGGACAGTGAAGTTTTGGCAGTGAAATAGCAGGGAACAGCTTAGAGCAGACTTCCAGGCAGTTTATTTTTTGTCTGCGTCAAATAAAATTGCCACCATCATGTCTAAGTCTCTTAAAGGCTGTTTTCATACTGTTTACTTCTTGATTGTTCCAATTTTAGTTTCTGCAAATTAGTCTTTTCATTTTATTCTAATTTACTATGATAGACTGCTCTGCAGAGGCAAAAACAATCACACACCTCAGCCTACTTTGTTACTGCCATATTCAAAGAGTCAACTTTATTATCTTGCCCAGGCCATTTGGCAACACACACTGATAATCAAAGTGTGATTTGACTTGGTGTCCAAAAGCAACACTGACCACACCTCAGGAACCTAATGTTGCATTTACAGTGTGGAAGTTACAAAAAAGACTATCCACATGGAAAGACATCTTGGTTTATGGTTCATCTTTTACTGAAAAATTTAACAAATGGCCATAATAAACACAGTGTTGCACTAAAAGTTATGAAAATATTAAGGCCTATAATCTACCAAAACCCAGGTGAAACTTATTTAATATTGAACTATAATAAAATGGTAACATACTAGAATTAACTGTTTCTGTCCTGGAAGGAAAGTTCCTTAGCTTAATAATATGAAACAGTTTTCAAGCCTAATTTCATGTCAAATATCAGGCAGTTTAAACTGTGAAGCAAAAAAACCCCAAACTGGGAAGCAAAATTAACACTGAATGCAGGATAATTTGTACCTTGGCCTTTCAAACTGCTCCTTTACTCTTAGTGTAAAGAGAACCCGTCACCCCTTTTCTCCCCAGTGTCAATTCTGTACCATTAGGTAAAAGATTTCTTTTTGTCAGTTGTTCTATCAGTGGATGGCTTCCTCACCACTCGATGTGTCAAGCTGTATTTAGTGAACATCAGTGTAACC